TACAGAAATAATGATAGGTGATGGGTATAGGAATCAGGAATAAGGTCTAAGAGTTATACTATTTGTATTAAACACTGTGTTACTATGTTTTATCCTATAATTTTTTTGACACTGCGCTGTATTTTTTTTTTTTACAGTACTATTATTACACAGTCTAAGTCCCCAGACAGTTTGACACCTAAAAAGCCATTGTTCATCATTTGTAGAAAAAGAAAAGGATATCACTACTATATGAATGTATCTCCTCAGCCTCAGATTAGAGTTTTTCAAAAAAGAGCTGAAGAGTCAAAAATGCATTACAACAAAGGAACATGATAATTGTCCTCTTATGACCTTTAACGATTAACAAAATGCTGTTAATTTTCATATGAATTTCAGTAAAGGAATTTATAAATGTGGAGCAGTTTAAATCTGTTAAAAGTACTCGAAACTAGTAGGGGGATGTTACCTAAAACATCAGTTTACACAGTAGCTCTTATAAAAAATAAACATGTAATGTATATTACATTGCATTATTATGATTTTGACTTGTCTCCTCTGGATGGAGTGGACACAGAGACCACTCCATCCGGAGGACATCTCAAATAGTAACCAACAAAAACATGCGCAACAGGAAGCCCCAGCATCAGTCAATCAAGCAGCTGAATTGTGACAGCTGCAATAATGGGGCAGGGAAATCAATATCCCATTGACTGGGCTGCAGCAGTCTAATCAATGAGCAAAGGCCTTTATGAAACCACTGTAGGAGCAGATAGGACAGGCTGATTGCATCCACTGTTTGGGCTTTACGGGCCTCTGGGGCCTGCACACCTGCTCTGGTGGCTGAGCAGAGAGACAGAGTTACACAGTCACCTTGGATCACTTCCTTCTGCTTTCATTCGACTTTGGGGAATAAGTGCAAACGCAGATGACGGGAACAGTCCCATAACAACGTGATCATTGCTCAGCCAGCCCTAATCAGTCCCAAGTTCAGTGAAGGCACAATTACTTATAGCAGTAGTCGACTGTTTACTACAAGTGCAAACTTACACCAGTGGCCCCAGAATGATAGCTCATGATGGTGGACCCATCGTACAATAACCTGAACAGGAAACAGTTTCTCACTCATCATCAGGCTAGTCGCAGTTCTTTAAAAGAGTACTGTAGCAGTTCTCTAGTCTTGCAGCTCAGGATGTACTTTATACACTCTTAAAAAAGAAGGCGCTATCTAGAACCTAAAACGGTTCTTTGGCTGTCCCCATAGGAGAACCCTTTGAAGAATCATTTTGGGTTCTGTGTAAAACCCTTTCCACAGAGGGTTCTACATGGAACCCAAAATAGTTATACCTGGAACCAAAAAGGGTTCTCCTATGGGGACAGCCGAATAACCCTGTTTTCTCAGAGTGTATTGAGAAAGGGACATGACAGCAGCCAACCTTTCCCTTAATTTCCAGTCAAGGCTCCATTAACATGACATCATTTATTTAGGTGCTTTAATAGCTGCTAAATTATGCTGCAGATTCAATCATACATTTATTATGCCCGGGATCTCTCAGGCCCATAAATGTACAGACCAAACTTCCACACTTCAGTCTGATCCATCTCTAATTCTGTAAAGCTTTCAACCCTTTTTTTTATATATCCAGTGTGTCAGTATATCTATAGAACTTTAATCAATTTCCATTAATGGGGTTCACATTTTTTGCCACTCAGTTATATAGTTCCCCCCCACCCCCACCCCTCTGCTAATTCATTTTCCAAAAAATGATTCAGAAAGAGTGGATATGTCCCTCAATTTATAAGATGTTCCAGTGAAGGGACTCATATATGTCCTATACTTAAACATCTATGATTTATATATATTTTGTCGACTGGTGATCGGAATTCTGAATAATCAGGAGGTCATAAATGATAGACATATGTAGCATTTAGAGGTAATTTGAATGCAGAAAATGACAAGTGGGATTTGCTTGACACAGTAACTCCACATGATTCTATTCTCGGGAACCTTAACATTTCACTGTGTGCAGAATGCAGAGTGTGATATGCATCAATTATTAAGAGGACCATGAGATACAGAACAAAATGCCAAGTCCCATCAGCTTGTTGTAGAGAGGGGTCTAAAGCTCAAGAGCCAACAGCTCTGTAAGGGGCCTAATTCTATTTCACTATGCAGAGATGAGTGGCTTAGAGGCACAGGTGACCAAACTGGTATTCAGCACTGGTCCTTATGAGTTAACACGGCTCAAACACAAAGCATACAAGGTAATGGTCTAGCTGCAGCTACAAAATCACTTTATAAAATATTATATGATTCAAATTTGACATTAGTCTGGGCATGTTGTCAGTTAGATAATTACTTGTTTTTCAACCTCATCATAATAACCCAAGATGCCATGTACAGTTAGTTATATCAAAGGACAGCCAACCCATATAAACCAAAACATATCTCTCCATTGAGCAGCTGACACCACAATTATGTGAACATACCTTCATTTGGTAAAACCATTTTTTAAAACCTCACATTACTTTTGAAAACATGTAAATGGATTTAAGGCATTAGTAATCTTCAAGGATCAGTGTCAAACATATATACAGTTGAAGTCGGAAGTTTACATACACCTTAGCCAACTACATTTAAACTCAGTTTTTCACAATTCCTGACATTTAATCCTAGTAAAAAATTCCCTGTTTTAGTCAGTTAGGATCACCACTTTATTTTAAGAATGTGAAATGTCAGAATAATAGTAGAGAGAACGATTTATTTCAGCTTATATTTCTTTAATCACATTCCCAGTGGGTCAGAAGTTTATATACACTCAATTAGTATTTGGTAGCATTGCCTTTAAATTGCTTAACTTGGGTCAAACGTTTCGGGTAGCATTCCACAAGCTTCCCACAATAAGTTGGGTGAATTTTGGCCCATTCCTCCAGACAGAGCTGGTGTAACTGAGTCAGGTTTGTAGGCCTCCTTGCTCGCACACGCCTTTTCAGTTCTGCCCACAAACTTTCTATAGGATTGAGGTCAGGGCTTTGTGATGGCCACTCCAATATCTTGACATAAGCCATATTGCCACAACTTTGGAAGTATGCTTGGGGTCAATGTCCATTTGGAAGACCCATTTGCGACCAAGCTTTAACTTCCTGACTGATGTCTTGAGATGTTGCTTCAATATATCCACATAATTTTCCTTCCTCATGATGCCATCTATTTTGTGAAGTGCACCAGTCCCTCCTGCAGCAAAGCACCCCCACAGCATGATGCTGGCACCCCCGTGCTTCACGGTTGGGATGGTGTTCTTCGGCTTGCAAGCAACCCCCTTTTTCCTCCAAACATAACGACGGTCATTATGGCCAAACAGTTCTATTTTTGTTTCATCAGACCAGAGGACATTTCTCCAAAAAGTACGATCTTTGTCCCCATGTGCAGTTGCAAACCGTAGTCTGGTTTTTTTTATGGCGGTTTTGGAGCAGTGGCTTCTTCCTTGCTGAGCAGCCTTTCAGGTTATGTTCATATAGGACTTGTTTTACTGTGGATATAGATACTTTTGTACCTGTTTCCTCCAGCATCTTCACAAGGTGCTTCGCTGTTGTTCTGGGATTGATTTGCACTTTGCGCACAAAAGTACATTCATCTCTAGAAGACAGAACGCGTCTCCTTCCTGAGCGGTATGACGGCTGCGTGGTCCCATGGTGTTTATACTTGCGTACTATTGTTTGTACAGATTAACCTTCAGGCGTTTGGAAATTGCGCCCAAGTATGAACCAGACTTGTTGAGGTCTACAAAACAATTTTCTGAGGTCTTGGCTGATTTATTTTGATTTTCCCATGATGTCAAGCAAAGAGGCGCTGAGTTTGAAGGTAGGCCTTGAAATACATCCACAGGTACACCTCCAATTGACTCAACTGATGTCAATTAGCCTATCAGAAGCTTCTAAAGCCATGACATAATTTTCTGGAATTTTCCCAAGCTGTTTAAAGGCACAGTCAACTTAGTGTATGTAAACTTCTGACCCACTGGAATTGTGATACAGTGAATTAGTGTGTGAAATAATCTGTCTGTAAACAATTGTTGGAAAAATGACTTGTCATGCACAAAGTAGATGTCCTAACCGACTTGCCAAAACTATAGTTTGTTAACAAGACATTTGTGGAGTGGTTGAAAAATGAGTTTTAATGACTCCAACCTAAGTGTATGTAAACTTCCGACTTCAACTGTACAGCATGACAGCACTTATGACATGAGAGGAAACTGTAAAATATCATGCAAACAAATTCATGTTTTCTACCAGACCGTCATTTAAATATTCAATGCATGGCCCCTTCAAAATTCCTGTTCTGTCCAGCACTGCCACAGAGGGTTGCACCCATGCCCATCTGAATGCAGGAGCAGGCTGCTAGAGGAGAGGGAGAGGGAGAGAGGAGGGCCGGTAGGAGGGCTATGACTGTGATCAGACATCACCAGGAGGAGTTGAGGAGGAGGAGAGCGCTGATGAGGAATGCAGAGAGATGAGACAGCGATAGCGGATTGAGACTAGACGCTCCCGAGCCCCGTGCACCCATGCCTGAAACCACAAACCAGCAGTCAGAGAAGCTCTTCAAGAACTGAAAATTCCACTTTTCAACAAAAAATGTTTCTGTCTCTATTTTCTAAATTTGATGACAATTCGTTGTAAATCAAAGGGCAACTGTGAATTATGTAGTGCTTTCCTTAGCTCCATTATTAATGTCTTTCAACAGGATAGGCCATTAAAGTATACAGAGATGATGAGGCTTATATCACATCAGAGAGCAGATCTCTTTAGCGTGTGGGGGGGGGGGGGGGGGGGGGGGGGGGTGTTGTACTATGTTATATGCTGCAGACCTGGGCAGTCAACAAGGAATGGCAGAGATGGATTGCACTGCACATGCATTTCTAAAAAGGTCGCATTTCTTGCACCCAAAATAAGTCTATTACACAAGGTTGAAGAGGGATGCAAGAGCCCAAAATACATGTTCTGTTTGGCTGATTGAATAATCATCAAAGCTTTATCAAGGGACACAGGAAGTGGAGAGGGGAGAGAGAGGAAATGGCAAACATACTTAATCTGTGGATGTGGATGGGTTCGCTGCCCACACCTTCACCGCCCTCACTCAGGGCCTTGATCTGGATCAGGTAGTTGTCGTTGGGAGACAGCGTCAGTTCCATCCTGGTTTTGTTTGTTACGATGCTGTTTACGTCATTGTACCGGTGTCTTCTCAACAGCACCTAGAAACGGCAATGCAAAACACACAATCAAAAATGAAAGATGGGCTGAAATGAGCAGTGAGGAGTGAGGGAATTTAAACTCGATTTTGCTTATAGGATGATAAGATGGCTCCTAATGCTTGGTGACAGTACAGTGAGGCTGGCTGGTTGGAGCTATGGATGTTTTGTCCCTGTGGAAAACCTTACCAATATGATGGAAAGAGTGGATTTGAGATGGTCGTGTTGTGTTTGACAAAAGAATAGAGCCACAGTGACATGAGACGTACACGATATCCGATGACCTCTGCCTCTGTCTCCATGGCTATCACAGGACCCCAGTGTAGAGTGAGCAGAGAGCCAATCATGGTCCACTCTACATTCAAAGGAGGCTGGCCTGGTGCTAAGAGAGAAGGGATGAGGAAAGAGAGAGGAACAGAGAGATGTTCATATAATACGTGAATAGTTTTACAAAATAATGAGTTTCTGTTCTCCCTAAATTTTTAAGTAAAAATGTATATACAATCCCCCAAACAGCTGAAGGAAAATGTACTTACTACGACTGTGATAATTGTAGTTGTGTCACCTAGCTATCTTAAGAAGAATGCACTAATTGTAAGTCGTTCTAGAGAAGAGCAACTGCTAAATGACTAAATTGTAAATGTAAATGAGATTCACTCACCTGGCTTCTTGGTGGTGGCGTTGATGGGTATAGACTGTGGCCCTGTCCCTGCAGTGTTAAAAGCGCACACAGCTAGGTAATACTGTGTGTTAGCGTTCAGTCCAGTCACATTGACCGCTGAGTAGTTTCCAGAGATTCTCACTTTGCCTACTGTGTCAGGCTTGGTGTCATCTTCCCAGTACACCACCTGTTTACCAATGGAAAGAAAACAACAAGAGATTGAGATATCAGACATGAGCAATTGAATTATTTTTTTAACTCTCACAAGTGATTCACTTCATCACATTATTAGAACATCCTCATCATTCAATCTGTAATGCCATTTAGTGTGCAGTAGAGGACTGGCTTCGCAGTGAATGATATCTGGGTCCTCAATTGTATCAGCCCATGGTCATTCTACAAAGGCACCCAAGAGTAACCCACAAAGTAAAATGACAAAGTGCTTGTGTGACACAGTATAGGGATATTCTTGTCACAATAATGTGTTTAAGATCCCCTGTTGTTGGTTCAATAAAATGTATTCCCCTCACAAATCTGTATTTTCAATGATTAAAATACAGTTTCTGTACTTAGAAATTAACACAACCAGCTACAGCATGGAGGAATATTGTATTCTCTTTAACTTAATTACTTTCCTTGAGGGTATTAGCTTTCAATTAACGGTGCAGGTGAAGATATATTTGATGAAGCAAATGAAATAATCCAATGCTAGTAGCTTAGGTTCATTTTCAATATTCATGTTTCTGGTATTAAGTGACACAAGAGTAAAGTCAATAAATAATTAGAGAGAAAATGTGAAGTCTGCTCTTGGGACAGGCACATCTATATTCCTGGTTTTAGCCATGCAACTAAATTAACCTATTAGATACCATTCTTTTCACGTAAAAAACTCTATAATATACCGTACTGGAGTAAAAAAACAGATCCATACTGTAGATGATGGGCCTATTATTGTGCCTAGCAGTTTTTACCTATCCTGCCAGTTTGGCTACTAACACCAACAATACTAATGCATCTGTCTGTGAAAGGTGTCATCTCTTTCTAAATCCTATGACTTCCACTGTACCCAACCTCTAAGGCTCAAGATGCATAGTAACAGCTTACCCCCTTAAAAGCCCCTCTCTCTCAAATCCTGTTTGCTGACCTGATAGCACTATTGTATCAACACAATATAGCCAGTGCCATGGCAACCAAAGGGTTTTGTTCCGAGGGGCAGAGGTGAGAAGGATTGAAAGAGCACTGGGAGAAAAGGAAAAGCTCTTCTTGCGTTCTTAAATGGATGGATGAGAGCTTTTCTCACCCGGCTTTAAAAGCTGCTGCAGCTAAATGGTGGTGGTCTTTAGAGCAGCTGTGTGTAAGCAATACTGTGACATACAGTACATATAGGAGTCAACATATTAACAAGATGTTGTCGACGTTACAGAACTCCTCATGATATCTTATACAGTGAGATGTTACAGTACACAGCATCCCAGGGGATATTTCAAGAAATAAAGCTACTGATTTCCATATAAACACTAGAAATGGAAATGTGTATGTGTTGTTTTATTGAGGAAATTTAGTGAATCCTACCTCATAACCAAGCACTCTTTCAGGGGTGATGGGGAGGGCTTCCCATATCACTTCAATTTGAGCTGCAGATACACTCCTGCCCCAAACCCTCTTAGGAGCCTCAATGGGTACTGCAGAAATAGAGAGCTGGTGAGAACCCCACAGACTCATTCAACACCATCAAACACACTAATAGGAAGGAGAGGAAAGCAGAGAATAGACCTGTAGTTTCACTGGAGAGAGATTTTGCCTCTGCTTGGTTTTTATTGGGATCTGTGACTGACATACGGGAAGACTATCTGCATGGCAAATTCAATTAACACAGTACCTCACTGACAGCCCATTGTAGAAAGTGTCTGCTAGGATTTCCTGTAATCTACCGATGCAATAACTAATATCAAGTTGACACTCCCAGCTTGAGAGGGGGAAAGTATCTGAACCAACTTAGAAGGTTGTGCCTCCAGAATGAAAAGATTAGGGGCTGTTTGAGTGTGACTTCCACTGGCAGCCGTTTCCTTTACCTTCCTCTGCTGAGAACACTGTGGCTATGGAACTGAAAGGCCCCTCCCCACGGTTGTTGTACGCCCCAACCTTCACATTGAACGGCGAGAAAGGTGGGATAGTGTCGTTGCGGAAGATGTATCGGGCCACCCCAGGCGTGGAGATGACCGCTCGTGTCCAGGTGACGGCACCCAGCGGCCGGAAGGCGATGATATAACCGAAACCCTCTCCATTCTGCAGTTCCTCAGGCACGGGCTGGGAGCGAAACACAAAACTATAGTGATATTAAAACGCATACAGGCCAAGACACTGACACCCCTGCGTTTGTCGTCAAGCACCTGCCAAAGAGGGCTTCAACCGTGATTGCAATGATTAGATGTAGTGTTTACACAAGGATTCCCCAACTGGCGGTGATTTTATTTGGCCCCCCAAGTGTTCTGAGCAAAAAATTATTATATTAAAAACACCAGCAAATCAGCTCCAAGTGATTTTAATTTAGAAAATCTGTTCCAAAGTATTCCCACGCATAATAGAGATATATGTGATCGTATACAAATGTAAGCAAGTTTTGAAATGATTATGTTTTAGTCAAATATTATATCTGCTTGGGCTTCTTACTGTCTTATATCTGCTTGGGCTTCTTACTTCTTACAGTCTACAAATTATTTGTAATGATGCTCCGGCCCCCTGACCATGCGCTCAATAATAAATTGGCCAACAGCTGAATATAGTTGATGATCCCTGGCTTACACCTACACCACAACCCACAGATGAGCAGAAATCACTGATTTTTTCATGTTTTTCTCCCTGCATTAGCACATAATTGTGGATGAAGTGGGCTTCAAAGAAACAATCTCTGTCCCTCAGTTGAATCACATTGGAAGGGAGAAATGGCACTCCATGGCCAGCACTGAAGAGAGGGGCTGGCTCTAGTGCAGATTATAATATTGCTTCATTCAATTCTGCACAATTAAGCAAAACCATTACCTGGCTATGGAGAGAACCGTAAAACCATTACCTGGCTATGGAGAGAACAGTAAAACCATTACCTGGCTATGTAGAGAACAATAAAAACATTACCCGGCTATGTAGAGAACAGCAAAACCTGACAGATGACTTACCTCCCAAGTTATCACTAATTCAGATTTTGTGCCTCCTCCGCCTCCAACATCAGTGGGAGCTGTATCAGGCACTGTAAGGCAAAGCCCAGAAGAGAGCAATTATAAGGCTGTTAACAGAGATGAACTACAGGACTACAGTGCCTTGTAAAAGTATTCATCCCCCTTGGCGTTTTTCCTATTTTGTTGCATTACAACCTGTAATTTAAATGAATATTTATTATTTATTATTATCCAAATTGGTGAAATGAAATGAAAAAAATAGCTGGTTTCAAAAAATCCTAAAAGATAAATAACGGAAAACTGGTGCGTGCATATGTATTCACCCCCTTTGCTATGAAGCCACTAAATAAGATCGGGTGCAAGAGGCACCACCAAGCAAGTGGCACCATGAAGACCAAGGAGCTCTCCAAACAGGTCAGGGAAAATGTTGTGGAGAAGTACAGATCAGGGTTGGGTTATATATCAGAAACGTTGAACATCCCACGGAGCACCATTAAATCCATTATTAAAAAATTTTAAGAATATGGCACCACAACAAATCTGCCAAGAGAGGGCTGCCCACCAAAAACAAGGAGGGCATTAATCAGAGAGGCAACAAAGAGACCAAAGATAACCCTGAAGGAGCTGCAAAGCTCCACAGTGGAGATTGGAGTATCTGTCCATAAGACCACTTTAAGCCGTACACTCCACAGAGCTGGGCTTTACGGAAGAGTGGCCAGAAAAAAGCCATTGCTTAAAGAAAAAAATAAGCAAACACGTTTGGTGTTCGCCAAAAGCCATGTGGGAGACTCCCCAAACATATGGAAGAAGGTACTCTGGTCAGATGAGACTAAAATTGAGCTTTTTGGCCATCAAGGAAAATGTGTGGCGCAAACCCAACACCTCTCATCAACCCGAGAACACCATCCCCACAGTGAAGCATGGTGGTGGCAGAATCAAAGTGTGGGGATGTTTTTCATTGGCAGGGACTGGGAAACTGGTCAGAATTGAAGGAATGATGGGTGTCGCTAAATACAGGGAAATTCTTGAGGGAAACCTGTTTCAGTCTTCCAGATATTTGAGACTTGGACGCAGGTTCACCTTCCAGCAGGACAATGACCCTAAGCATACTGCTAAAGCAACACTCGAGTGGTTTAAGGGGAAACATTTAAATGTCTTGGAATCCAATTGAGAATCTGTGGTATGACTTAAAGATTGCTGTATACCAGCGGAACCCATCCAACTTGAAGGAGCTGGAGCAGTTTTGCCTTGAAGATGAACACTTTCGCAAGCCACTGTATATGCCATAGGTTTAGCCTCATGAGACAGCTTTAAAATGCATTCACAATATTGTTTTCTATTTTACACTCCACAAACTTTTCCCTTGATACTAGCGACCCGACATGTTTTGGAGTATATGGTCCTACTCAACTGCCAAACGTCACAAAGAATAAACAACTTTTTTTTAGATTTAGCCGTTAAGTTTAATATTCAGAAAATGCCATTTTACTTGACAACGGTTTCGTGCATAGCACTGTGGTGGCAAAACAGATTTGTGGACCGCTCATGTGCATCCTGATGCCAGCCCAAAGTAAATGGTCCATCACAAGACATCTGTCACATCAGCAACTGGTTCAAGCAGCATTTCATGTCAGATGTCAGGGGTCTGTGTATATCTACAGTATTTGTGTGTATGTGTGTGTATGTGTGTGTGTATTAGTGTGTGTTAGTGTGTTAGTGTGTTAGTATGTGTATGTGTGTGTTAGTGTGTGTATGTACGTGTTAGTATGTGTATGTGTGTGTTAGTGTGTGTGTGTCTGCGTATGTATTTTAGAGAGAGTAGAGGAGAGACACTCACTGGTATCCTCTGTCCTGGTCTTGGCTGAGGCTGGACTGGGCTCTCCCATGCCCACACTGTTGCGGGCCACCACCCTGAACTCATACTCCACCCAGGCGTTCAGGCCCACCACAGTGGCTGTCAGTGTGTTGCCATTGATCACCTCAGGAACTGGAAGTGGAAAGTAGACCATTATTATCATGCTGGATAAGCATTGTTATGGTGTGCTCTGTTATGTACTGTATGGTAAGTGTATAAGCTACCTGTGTCCACAGCCTGCCAGCCCACAGTGAAGGGGGTCCGGGCCTGGATGATGTAGCCGGTGATAGGGCTGCCGTTGTCCCTGCCGGGGCTCCAGGAGAGCTGGGCCGTGCTATCTGTGATCTCCTCCACCGCTACTGTGTCCGGTGGCCCGGGGGGACCTGACTCAATCAGACAATAAGCAAAGTGAGCCTCCACACCGCACACCACCAACACATAAAAAAAAACACCCCCACACAACCAAAAACACCACCACCAAAAACAACACCACACACACACCACACAAAACACCAACCAACCACCAAAAACACCAACCAACACACCAAACACCACCAACACCCACACACCACAACACCCACCACCACCAAGAACACACCAACCACCACCCCACCACAAAACACACCACCACCCCCCCACCCCCATAAACACCACCAACCACCCCACCCAAAAAACCACCACAACACAAAACCACCACACCCCCACACAAAACACCACAACCAAACACCACCACACCACCACCACCAATAAAACACCAACACACCACCACCATAAACACCACCAACACCACCACCACCACCATAAACACCACCACCACCACCACCATAAACACCACCCACCACCACCATAAACACCACCAACACCCCCACCACCACCATAAAAACCACCACCACCCCCACCACCAACACCCCCACCATAGGCACCACCAACACCACGCCCCCATTCCCAACTCATCATCCTCTTGCCTTTACAGCTGGCCCAATGCCATCACACTCCCTCTAATTAAGGGCTGTGTCCTTGGGCCGGCTTCACAGGGACCTTTAATGCAGACATGTGATATGTGAGGCTGAGAAGTGATTAAGAACATTGGATCACTAACACCAGACAGGAACATGGGAGGGGACAATTTGTTAAACATATGCTTGTGTTAGAAAGATGGACAGTGAGAGGAAGTGAGAAAGAGTGTGAGAGAGAAAGAGAGATAGAGAGCGAGAAACAGATTGAGTGAGAGAGACCGCAACATTGAGAGGCAAAGAATGACAGAGAGTGTTCATGGATATCTACTCCAAAGATGGGTGCATGCCATGATGTTGTTGTTTGCTCCATTGTTCCATTATTCAGATGCTTCTATTGTATTTTGCCGATATGTAAATGAGCCAATTAAAGCTATCTCTGTAATAAACAATGGCTTTCCAAAACATCTGGGACAGCTATTACAGGGTGTTATGGGTGTGCATACCAATGTAAATCACTAGAGATAAGCTACAATGATGAGATATGATACGCTACTCCAAAAACATATCAACTACCACTGTGGAAGCTGCCATCACAAATGTACAAGTGCCACAGTGTGTGACATTATCAAATTCAGCGATGCCAAATATTGTCTTTCAATTATTTCAAAAAGATGTCATAAAAATTCAATGTTCTCATTACACAAATACCACATATCATTACATTGTATAACATGCCATGTCATGAAATGTAAAAACAAAATATGTAAGATATTTATAGATATTATATAGATGTATATGTGTCTGCACAGTTCACACCAAAATATGAATACAGCATCCTATTTGTCATAAAGGTAGCTTGACAGCAAGTTTAATTAACCAATATTCTTCATATAGGCCTATAAAATGAAGTATGCCATCTAGATTCCAATTTCAGCTCCAATTTATTCCATGAATCAATTTTAATTCTGTCAAACTGCTTACGATATTTTTCATTGCAAACTCTAAGGTCAAACATTCACAGCCGACACTATATTGTATTTCGACATTCAGACTTTTCTAAAGAACTTTTAAAAAGTCATCACTTCTGAGAAATGAGTCCCTGTACAAATGTGAATCTCATAGCCAGAGTGAACTCAACTTGAATTCCATAAAGGAACCCTTACAACCTTAACAGTCGGTTCTCTTACCTTTCACAACCAAGATGGCCGAAGCGGACAAGTTCTCCACGTCGGTGTCGATAACACAGACATATTTCCCCCCGTGATTCAGCTGGATGTTACGAATCATCAGATCTCCTGAAATGCTCTATAAGGGATAACAATAACACAAAAACAAGAATATCTGGTGTAAGATCCAGAAATCTAAAGGAAATACACTCTGAACTGTTTCATCATTCTATCTGAGCAATTGCATGCATGATCCTACTGCAGGTTGACTAATAAATACATGTATTACATTACAGAACATGTATTTTTCTTTTTAAGTGTGACTGTAGCTTTAACATTGAGGAAGCTCTGTGCACAGAGCTGCATGTGGTCCTCAGGCCACTGAGTCTTGTGACACACAGGAACCAACAAGAACGTCAGCTGTGTTCTAAACAAACAATCCTGTCAGCTACCCTTCAGGCACTGCATGTTCCCCTACTCAGCCTCGCACAAGACCCACAAAACAGACAAACACATTCCGGCTAATTGGCAAGATGATCCTAATTATTCCATAATTACATAAGCCAGAGTAGATAAGAAATGATTACGTCTCACAGACTAGGAGCTAATATTGTTCTATATAAAACCGTGTGCTCTTTGAGATCCTAAAACTGATAAACTGTTGAAAAACCCAAAGATGAGCGAGATGTGATGAAATAGCTTCTGTACATTTTCCCGTCTGCCATGGAGGCTTAGTACAGTTATATAAGTTAATGTGGAAGAGCGATACAAGTAAAATGTCTTCATATGTGATTGATTTGGGATCATATTTACAGTGTCTTCAGAATGTATTCATAACCCTTGACTAATTCCGCATTTTGTTGTTAGAGCCTGAATAAAACATTTATTAATTATATATATATATATATATATATATATTAGGGCTGTCAAAAATAGCGCGTTAACGACGTTAATTAGTTGTTTGCTGTTAATTACGTCAATTTTTTTAACGCATTTCACGCATGCGCAGTGTGACAAATTATTCAGGTCAGGAAAGTGGTTGGGAGCTAGAGGCGAGATGGAGCAAGGTGAGCAAAGTGGGCCTATTGACGGATTCAAATATAAAAAGAATGATGATGGTACAGTTAACAAGTACAAGGTTATTTGCAAGATTTGTAAGAAGGAGTTTCAATTTCACCGGAGCTGTTCAAGCTTGAAGTACCATGTCAACGCCAAACATGCGTTTGCTGGGCCGTCAGATTCAGCAAGTGGTTTGCGCCAGACCACGCTGAATGTTTGCAGGCAATTAACAAAATCAACCTCAGATAATTTGACCAACACAATAGCAAAATGGATTGCAAAGGATTGTAGACCCATTAGCATTGTAGAAGACTCAGGTTTCCTTGATGTTTTGCAAGTGGCGTCTCAAGACTCATTCTATAAGCCACCGTCAAGAGCCACAGCCAAAGAAAAATATTATGGTGTGTAGTATGTTTCAGCTTGATTTAAAACACCATTATTTGGCTGTGTTAATAAACAGACATAATATGAAAATTATGTATCTGTGTCCTGTTATTTATCTTTTGGTATGCATTTCAGAAAAAAAATGGTTAGGATTCAGGTGTATTTGCAAATAGTGATTAATCATGATTAATCCACTGAAAATTCTGATTAATTTGATTAAAAATGTTAATCATTTGACAGCCCTAATATATATATATATATATATATATATATATATATATATATATATATATATATATATATATGTATATATATATATTCATCTACACACAATACCCCATAATGACAAAGTGAAAACATGTTAGCTAATTTATTGAATATTAAATACAGAAATATCTCATTTACATAAATATTCACACCCCTTTGCTGTGACACTCCAAATTGAGCTAAGGTACATCCAATTCCCTTTGATCATCCTTGAGCTGTCACTACAACTTGTTTTGAGTCCACCTGTGTCCAATTCAATTGTTTGGACATGATTTAGAAAGAAACACAACTGTCTATACAAGGTCCCACAGTTGACAGCACGTCAGAGCAGAAACTATACCATGAAGTACAAGGAACTGTCCGTAGATCTCCGAGATAGAATTGTGATGAGGCATATATCTGGGGAAGGGTACAAAACAATTTCTAGAGTGTTTAAAGTTTCCAAGAGCATATTGATCTCCATCATTGGGAAATTGAAAAAATATGGAACTACCCAGACTCTGCCTAGAGCTGGCCGTCCGAATAAAACTGAGCAACCAGGCAAGAAGGACATTGGTCAGGGAGGTGACCAAGAACCGAATGATCACTCTGACAGAACATCAGAGTTCCTTAGCTGAGATGGGAGAACCTGCCAGAAGGACAACAATCTCTACAACACTTTAACAATCTGGGCTTTATGGGAGAGTGGCCATACGGAAGCCATTCCTGAGAAAAAGGCATGTGAAAGACTCTGAGAGCATAAGGCAAAAGATTCAGTGGTCTGATGAGCCAAACATTTTACTCTTTGGCCTGAATGCTGCTCATCACCCGTCTAACATCATCCCTACTGTGAAGCATGATGGTGGCAGCATTATGCTATTGGGATGCTTCTCAGTGGCAGGGACTGGGAGACTGGTAAGGACAGAGGGAACAATGAATGGAGTCAAATACAGGCAAATACTTGAAGAGAACCTGCTTCTGAGTGCAAAAATGTACGTTCCAACAGGACAAGCATACAACCAAAGCAACTATTGAATGGCTTCAGAACAAGAATGTGAACGTCCTTGAGTGGCCCAGACAAAGCCCACACTTGAATCCCACTGACAATCTGTGGAAAGACTTGAAGATTGCTGTTCACCACCGCTCCCCATCTAATTTAACAGAGCTTGAGAAAATCTGCAAGGAAGAATGGGAGAAAATCCCCAAATCCAGATGTGTAAAGCTGATACAGACATACCAAAGACGACTCAAAGCTGTATTCGCAGCCAAAGGTGCTTCTACGAAGTATTGACTCAGGGGTGTGAATACTTATGGAAATTAGATATTTCTGTATTTCATTTTCAATAAATTTGCAAAAATGTCTAAAAACATGTTTTCACTTTGTCATTATGGGGTATTGTGTGTAGATGAGTGAGAGAAAAAAAGCTATTTAATCCCTTTTGAATTCAGGCTGTAAAACAACAACATGTGGAATAGGTCAAGGGGTATGAATACTTTCTCAAGTCACTGTATCTGCAGTTAATTATTAGGCACATAGCAAAGCTACCCATCACTCTGGGGAGATGGACTCACATTCTAAAAATCCAGAGCCAATGTTCACTTGGTGAAGTGGTCTGTCACACATACACAGCATGTCATCCTTCAGGACTCCTTTTAAAATGGAGTGTGCTTGTCCAGAGATGATTCACCTGAGGGCTAGCCAGGTTAGTCACACTCAAGTCACGCCAGATTTCATCAACTCACTGGGCAGTGATCACAGCTCGGCTTGGCTGCAATTGTGTATGAACGCTAGAGGTCTTCATCGGTCCAAAAAGTTGGACCCGTTCCGAAATGGACCTGGGGCTTTCCCACCCGGACCCGATATGCATAAATACATTATTTTTTATATAGAGACCCATTCCAAACGGACCCGAAGACACATACCTGAGACCCATGACAATCATATCAGTTCCAACCCAGACCCGTGACATTATTTAGAGTTGTGGATCCGGATCCGCTCGGAACCTGGATCGGGTCTCGGGTATTCGGGTACAGGTGGATCCGTGAAGACCCTCTAATGAACGGCCTGAGGATCCTCACCTCTCGGAGTCAAAGACCAAGCGGAGCAAAGCGGCACTTATGTGTAGCTAAGGGACGGCATGGCACTCCTCTCCTCTGACAGGCTAACATGCTCATGCCATGTCTACCACTGACATGCCAGCCAGCAGCTGTCTAACTGGAGAACAAGGGGTTAAATCCCATGCCTTGGCAGGCAGGAAGCTATGAGGCAGATCTGGTTTAATTATGTGAATTAATTCATCAGAAGCTGTTGAGAAGAGCTGGTAATCTCCCTGGGCATGGGGATATGGAATCTGTGAAAACTGTATCTCATTATGTGTGTCCACATGTCAATGTCATTTGTAATTGCCATTTGTCTATCCACGCAGGAGTGAACTTAGCATGACCACGACATTGGAGGGGTTCAACTCCGATATCAACCTCAACTTTAATCCATTCATTTAGTTTTTTTTCAAACTGTATCCATACAATGAACCTGGGGTGAAGAGTGAATCCATAAAACAGTGAAAAATGATTCCCTAAAACAATTTGGCAGAGACAAGTGCAGAACAAATGAATACCAAAACTCAACACATATTTTCAACAAAGAGTAGTCTCTTATCGTTAATTCAAGGAATGAGGATTTGAAATGAACATTTTACAGGTGCCAAGGCTTGCCCTTGGTTAATGCCAGCCAACTCATTATAAAATTATTTCAGGGTACAAGATTCATAAATAGGTATGCAAATTCAATTACAGCAAAGAGAGATGATAACAAAACGTTCTCCCTTGAGGTGGAGAAATTAGAAGTTGGAGGGATGAAAAGTAAAAAGAGTTTTAATTGATCAGGCTTATTCCACCGTTGAAACACTTTACGGATTAGTATGATCTCCTATGAAATACTGTGGCTTTTCACCTTTATATTGTCTTACGGATAACATCGCAATTCATTTGAGCTGTCCGATGGACAGGGAGACGAAATATACATGGCAGATTAATTGAAAAAGAGGCAATATAGCTTGAAACAATGGAAATTAAATATAGCCTATTGAAGCAACACTTCAATGCTGAGACTGCTGCTAAGATTTGATCCCAACACATCCTTCATTAGTACCCTTCTTGAAAGTAGCCTACTATGTGACGATAGGGCTTTTTTATGTTTTTAAGAGGTAGCTAACCTATTATACAGAGATGATACAGTTTCCAAATTAGCCATACTCTTAGAAAAAAAGGTGCTATCTAGAACCTAAAAGGGTTCTTTGGCTTTCCCCATAGGATAACCCTTTGAAGAAGCCTTTTTGGTTCCAGGTAGAACCCCTTTGGGTTCCATGTAGAACCCTTTCTACAGAGGGTTCTACATGGAACTCAAAAGCATTCTACCTGGAACCAAACAGGTTTCTCCTATGGGAACAGCTGAAGAACCCTTTTGGAACCCTTTTTTCTAAGAGTGTACAATAGCCTCACAGCAGTTGTCCACTGCTAATGATGACTCACCCCTCCTACTCTGTCGAAATGGTCGGCGTCCCCATGGAAGTCTATGAGCTGCCCGTTGAAGGCCCAGGAGAAAGACACATCCAAGGCTGGATCGCTGGCAATCTGGCAGGGCAGCACGATACTCTCGCCAACAATGATCTCCATGTTAGCAGGCCTCTGGGTGATTCTGGTGGGCTCTGTCCAGACAATGACAGTTTAGTATGCATCTTAATACTTTCTGGGTGGGAACCATTACGCTCAAACTCTAGTGTTTAAGATTATAACTATATCAAACTATTACTATGACAAGGATCACCATAGCTACATGTATCTTGCTTCTAGAACTTAACTTTCAAACTATTGTTGCCTCACTAACATTTAACATCCTTTCTGGTTGACACTTCGTATTTGCATGGTCAATTTGGGGGCGAAATGTTTGAAGTAGGATTATGCAAGCAGAATACATTCCCAATGGTGGCTGCAGTGGAGTACGGGAGCCTTGTAAGGGAAAGGTCAGGATAATTAAATTCCATTAGATTAAAGGGTTCAGCTGCTGGCGTATGACCTAAAAAAGCTACTGAGAAAAACAATGGAGGTGGTGACGGACGTTTACAAATCATGTACCCGATAACTGCACCAACACATTACGTCACCGCACCCATTAATAATGACCTTTACTTAATTGCGGTACAATAACTTATTGCCTATATAACCACTCTCTCTAGTGAAATCAATTCCAATTACTTTAATTACAAAATAACAACCTTGACAGTGTACAGACAAAATAGTAATGACCAATTGAAGTTGTAGGGACAGAATAGTAACGATCACTTTCATTAGATGTTAGGCTGGGATTATTAGTACAATTATCAGTACAAGACAGTACATCAAAATATCCGACAATAAGGACAGCTATTGATGTAAAAAAAATTGCAATTACGTTAAAATCATGAACCAAAGTGAATGGTTTTTGGGAGATGCCTCGGGCTTATTGTGAGAACCCGTTATGATCCCACACCTGTGATAAGGAGTCTTCCAGTGGTGCTCGCAGTCCCAAATTGATTCTTAGCGATGCATGTGTAGCTCCCCGCATCCCTCCTGGTTGCGTTGACAATCTTCAGTGTCCCGTTGGGAAGCAGAGTAATCCTAGGGGATAAGTAACAGAGATTCTGAGCTGTTGCTTGGGTAAATAATTGAAGAGCCGTTTCTGAATCCAGTCCAAGTGCTAGGATGCATAATTGCCTTCGTTTCAACATCATTTCAAATTGTCCTTGTATTCCAACAGAGAAAACTGAAAATCGACTTTGCATTTTGCAATTTCCTGTGAAATTGGTGTCCTAATGCCAATCATTCTCCCCAGGCTTATCATCCAAGAGATGGTTATCTGCATGTTAATTTTTGTATTTAAACAAAATAAGCCTGACTGAAAGCCTGAATGACTGAAATGTTGGTATTTGCATAAGCTAAGCATTCAATACGCACAGAAGCTGCATACAACATATACTATCTATATCTACATTTTTCCAGGGGTTTGTTTTCTTCTCATCAGCCTTTCCTCCTATTCATCCACACGTCTGCAAATATTATAATCACACACAACTGCCCTTTTTGAATGTGAATGAGAGAGAATTCATGCTGGGTTTCACACTACCTCTCGTTTCTCTGCAAGATCTCATTGCCTTTCTTCCACAAGCTAATTGCCCGGGGCGAGGCTTGGGGCTTGCACTCTAGAGCCACTTCACTGCCTGAGCGAGCTTTCAGCAGGGCCTTCAGTGGATTCTTGGAGAAACTGGGAGGTGATGCTATAGGAGACACGGGGGGGGGGGGGGGGGGGGGGGGGGGGGAATAGGGGAGGAAGACAACTTGAACCAACTCCCAGATCAACTGTGCTGACCTGAGATTGACTCATTCCCTACCTCCTTCCCCTATCCTCTGGCATAAAAACCATGATCTCCATAGGAACTGCTCCAGGGCTTCAGTGATGAAGCCATATCCCCCTTCCACCATAGAGACCAGTCCTCACTACACACTATGGGCTTCTCTAAACGTTGGGCTTTGTCTGTCATCGTCACGTTTTGTCAGTCATCATCGGAGACCCCCAGTGTCATTAAATAGCAGGACCGAATTGGATTTCTCATCCGGTCAGTCAGATAGATAGAACTCAGCAAAGCTCTCCGAATAAATCGATATGTCATCTACATGAGAAAGCCCTCTGATGCCACTGTGCAATGTGTTTCTAGTATCAAAATCAATATGATGAAATGAATGAAAGTAAAATAAGATACTCCATCAGATTCATATTTTCGACTCTGGAGCCGAAGTGGCATCAAATGAGGCTGCGAGTGAACGTAGAAAATGGCAATGGCAGGGTGCTAGTATTATATTTAAGAATATGATCAAACACACAGCAATCTAGACACATAAAAATCAGAGAGGAAAGCTATCTTACCTAACACCATTAGCTCAGCGCTGGAATAAATAATGCCATGTTTGTTTTCAGCCACACACTGATACATCCCGGCATCTGACAGGTTTAATGCTGCTATGGAGAGAGCCCCGTTTTCGATTTGCACCCGGCCCTGTGGACGACAAAGCAAGCAGATCTGCATATGTATCGCTGGAGCAGACTCTTATGTCCACAGGCGCAAATGCAATTACTTGTACAATATGAAGAGACAAGAGAGGGGAAGAAAAAACACTTCATAGCACCCTGTTCTTGTATGTATGCTCAGATTGGGACTAGGATAGGGTGAGGGGGTAGAAAATGCTGACCTGCAGCTTCAATAAAAACAAAGAAAGTGATGTTGTCAATACCAGTAGACCACTAATAAGCTATTCTTCCCATGGCCATCAAGTTGGAAAAGCCACTAAAACAAGTCAGATACATTTTTCTGTTGATGTCTTACTCTGACTGAATTTGAAACCTATCAGCTGTTCAGAGATCCTGAACCACGGCACACTATGTGGAGATGCTGATGTGGTTTCACGTGCAGGACTCCATACATACCTCTGCCATTAGGTTGTCTCCATTCCTCAGCCAACTGTAGGAGGGCTTGGGCTTCCCGTTTGCCTTACACTCCCAGAACAGGTTCTCCTCAATGGACAGGGCGCCGTCGATCATTGTCTGGAGCCAATGGGGTTTCGCTATGAAAAGAGGGAATATGCAGATGTCAGGGACAGGGATTCCAAAGACATAATGACGATTAAAAGGACAACGGAGCCAAGACTGAAAATAAATTGTTATCATGGACCGCTGACATAATATCAGCATTATAGAGTGGCGCACAATTGGCCCAGCGTCGTCCGGGTTTGGCTGGTGTAGGACGTCATTGTGAATAAGAATTTGTTCTTAACTGACTTGCCTAGTTAAATAAAGGTAAAATAAAAAATAGTTTGAATGAATATTCCATCATTCACCGAACGGCCAGGACAGTAGAGTCAGGGAAATCAAGAGGGGGGGGGGGAGGGGTATGCCTCTTCATCAACAGCAAATGGTGTGCTGACTGTAGCACAGTGGAAGTCTCGACCCATTGTTCACCCGTCTTGGAATGCCTGATGGTCAAATGCCGACTCTTCTACCTCCTGACGGAGTTTTCAGCTGTTTTCGTGACTGTTGTATACATCCCACCTCAAGACAAGAAATATAACAAGCTGGCACTTAGCGAACTGTACGAGGTTATAAACAAGGAGGAAACTTACATCTGGAGGCTGCCTTTCTTGTCGCCGTTGATTTTAATTCTGCGTCATTAAGACACGTGATGCCCAACTTCCATCAACATGCCTCCCTCGCCACTAGGGGCGATTAAGTCCTAGACCACTGTTACTCTACCCACAAGCAAGCATCAACAAGGCCCTCCCTCGTCCGCCATTTGGCAAATCAGATCATGACTCCTAGACTCTGCCGATAACATCAACGAACTAACCACCTCCGTCACCGGCTTCATAAGGAAATTAATCTGCGACTTTGTCCCCACAGTGAAGGATTGCTGCTTCCCCAATCAAAAGCACCTGGATTAACAGAGGTTGGCGCTAAACTAAACGTCAGGGCTACCGCACACAGGGCTATCGCAGACAACCCTGAGGCTACGGCTGAGGACAGGAACAAGTACAAGAAGTCTACGACCTCCGCAGAGTCATCAAATGAGCAAAAAGACAATATAGGAATAAGGTGGAATCATATTACACAGGCTCCGATGCCCACCGCATGTGGCAGGGGCTACAGTCCATCACGGATTACAAAGGAAGACCCAGCCATGATCTGCCCAACGATGCCTCTCTTCCAGATGAACTCAATGCATTTTATGCACGCTTCAACAATAACAACACCATACTGTGCGTGAGGGGCCCCACCGACCCAGATGACTGGGTGATCTCGCTCTCTGAGGCTGATGTGAGAAAAGGTCTTTAATCAGGTCAACATTCCAGGGCACGTTCTCAGAGCATGCGCAGATCATTTAGCATATTCACAGTAATTTTCAACCTCTCCTAGTCCCAGTCTGTCATCCCCACATGTTTTAAAATGCTTCATTTCTGTTCCCAAGAACTCTAAGGCTTCATGCCACAATGACTACCGCCCTGTAGCACTCTTCTGTAATCATGAAGTGCTTTGAAAGGCTGGTTATCGCACACATCAACTCCATCATCCCAGACACCCTAGACCTACTCCAATTTGCATACCACCCAACAGATCCATATACGATGGAATCGCAATTGCACTCCACACTGCCCTCACCCACCTAGATAAGAGGAATACCTATATCAGAATGCTGTTCATTGACTACAGCTCAGCGTTCAACACCATTGTCCCCTCCAAGATCGTCACCAAGCCTGAACACCTCGCTCTGCAACTGGATCCTGGACTTCCTGATGGGCCAATCCCAGGTGGTGAGGGTAGGCAACATCACCTCCGCCACGCTGACCCTCAACACGGGTGCCCCACAGGTGTGTGCTTAGTCCCTTCCTGTACTCCCTGTTCACCCACGACTGCGTGGCCACGTACAACACCAACACCATCATCAGGTTTGCTGACGACACGACGGTGGTAGGCCTGATCACCGGCAACGATGAGACAGCCTACAGGGAGTCAGTGACCTGGCAGTGTGGTGCCAGGACAACAACCTCTCCCTCAACATCAGTAAGACCAAGGAGCTGATCGTGGACTACAGGAAATGGGAGGGGGGAGAGGGGGGGAGCACGCCCCCATCCACATCGATGGGGCTGCAGTGGAGCGGTCTAGAGCTTCAAGTTCCTCTGTGTCCAAATCACTAAGGACTTAAAATGGTCCACTCACACATGCACAGTCCTGAAGAAGGCGCAACAGCGATTCTTCCCCCTCAGGAAGTTGAAAAGGTTTGGCATGGGCCCTCAAATCCTCCAAAAATTATACAGCTGGACCATTGAGAGCAAAATTGTGAAAGACTCCAGCCACCCAAGCCATAGACTGTTCTCTCTGCTTCCACACGTCAAGCGGTACCGGTGCATCAATTCTGACACCAACATGCTCCTGAACAGCTTCTATCCCCAAGCCATAAGACTGCTAAATACTGTAGCTAACAGAATGGCTACACGGACTATCTGAAATTACCCTTATATATACACTGACACTCCAACACACACATTACATGCACACACATTTATACTGACTCTACACACACGCACGCACACACACTCACATACAATCATCATTTACACTGCTGCTACTCTGTTTATCATATATCCTGATGCCTAGTCACCTTACCCCTAAACGTATCTACTTCTATAAATCCTGTATCCCCTGCACATTGTAAATATGGTATTGGAACTAACCCTGTATATAGCTTCCTACTTTCTTGTGTTCTTTTTTATTTATTTTTTTGTGTGTTTTTGTTCTACCTTATGTTATTTTTAGTGCTACATTGATATTGATTACTGCATTGTTGGGTTTGGAGCTTGCAAGAAAGGCATTTCACTGTACTTGTGAACCTGACATTAAAACTTCACACAGCCAGGTTTTCTAACAGATGACCGAGGCCACAGCCAGTATTCGGACTCCAAGCCTCCATTTACAAATGTGGATATCTATTACAACAGCACATTGACTCATAAGTCTCTCTGGATTCCTTCAATATAAAATGGATCACTTACCCTGGAAGGCGATACGACCTCGTGCAGTGTTTTTTCCTCTGCTATTTTCTGCCACGCACTCATACGTCCCTGTGTCTTCCTGCTGGAAATGTGGAATTTCAAGGACAGCGTTGGAGTTCTTCATCTTCACCTTACTGGGAAATGGGACGCCGCTGGTTCTCCTCCAACTTATTTCTGGGACTGGGCTGCAACACAAGGAGAAAAAAAATGTGATTAACTGTACAGAATCTTCTACTGTGTAATGGAATTCAATTTTTCTCTAAAGAGGAGGCTGCCAACGCCTTTAGAATGAATGTAACCATACAAATCTGGAAATCTGGCTCTAATCCATTTTCACAGTCTCAAATTCCCACAGCTTTGCCTTCCTGGATGTATGAAAGGACGTTTGATTTTCACATCCTCACAATGTGCTATTGCTTTCTGTACTCCTCTGTGAGTCTGTGATACTTGACTTCAACACGATAAGTGATATCACTAATATTCCAGCATCCTAAGAACAGCAACCTAATTCCGAAGACCTGCATAACAAACGAACACGCGCACATTCACTCCGACTTACTTTCCCAGTGCGAAGCATTCTAGTTTTACCGTGGATCCCTTTGCAGCTGGAACAGTGTCAGGGAAATGAACTTCTATTTTGGGTTCGTATTCACCCATTGCTCCTATGAAAGGGAAACAATACACAAACAGCATTTTGGCATCAATGATTAATGGCACACACACTTTACGCCCTGGAAGACAAGGCTCAACAATAACATGTGCCCAGAAACACAAAGGTTTTTGTGTGTGGAACAGAAACGATCACTGAGAGGTTGGTAAGAGGGAGAGAAATGGAAAAGGTGTATTAAAGATTCAAAGAAGAATACACCTGGGGGAGGGGATGGTAGGGATTCATCTCCTGTGGAGATGTGACTTCTTTTCAGACTGAATCTAATATTCAAGCTGCAACAACTTGACCCATTCACTTTTCCCTTTGAGGAGGCAAGGTTACTTTTAGTCTTTTACCACGTACAATTAGCATTATAGAATATCTGTAAAGAATGGTCTATTGTAGACTGTGTATAGTCTGCCAATGCTTCATACGTTGAGCGAGGTATACTATTGATGTTGTAGCCTACTGTAGCGCCTATCTCTTAATAAGGGACTTAATCTGGGCAGTTTGTGCAGTCTGATCAGCGTGTCTGTTAACATAAAGGATGGGATCTTACCGTCATTCCTCAGGACCAGCGGTGTAGGAGAGCTGAGGACTTTGCCCTTAGTGATGCTATTGTTGACCACACAGGTGTAGTTGCCCACATCAGAAGGCTCCACTTTTGCGATGTACAGACTTCCTGTCTCCTGGGAGATGAATCGACGACTATCTTGCTGGACAAAGTAGGGGTACTCATTGAAGATCCACGCAAATGTCAGCTCTAGGAGGGAAAGGAATGTGACAGTGGTAAATACAGCAGTAGTACTGAACAGTAATGTGTTTGTAGACATAGTAGTCTACTTTGAAAATAGCCCATTTAAAAATATCATTTAGCATGTATGCGAAATGTTTAAGTGTAGATATCTCCCATTGATGAAATACTGTACTACAAAACAAAATAAACACATTCTAAGCTGATAATGTCAGCATTTCACACAATTTCCTTCTCCTTTTTAAAGTTTCCTTTCAAGTAGATACCAGGCGAATACAGCAGAACAGCTATTGGTGCACAAGAAAGAGCGTCAAAGGAAAGAGAGCAAAACTAAATGGATTACAGTACCTCACTGGCACTCTCATGACACATGCCCTGTCCTCTACCCTGCTGGTTCTAATCCCCAAGCTGACTAGGTGAAAAATCTGTCGATGTGCCCTTAAGCAAGGCACTTAACCCTAATTGCTCCTGTAAGTCGCTCTGGATAAGAGCGTCTGCTAAATGACTAAAATGTAAATGTAAATGTAAATGTGACTGGGGAGAGGGCTTTCCAGGCTTGACTCATACATGCCATGCTTCTCCTCAGCCAACAGGCCTAGCATAATTAAGAACACAGAGCGCTGCCACACAGCATTACTGAGTCATCTTGAAGAGAGCACAGATTCACAGGCGCGAGGTACTGTACCAACCGTGATGTGGAGGCGAGAGTGTGTAGGGAGCTATAAGGTGTGTACGCAACGTACTGTCACTCATCTCCTGTCCCCCTGGGAGCAGAATGACTTGCAACCTTGGCTGCTGGGATCACGCTTTGGCAGTCGGTTCACTGAAGCCAAAACCAATTCATTCTGATGAAGCAACTCTGAGCTATGTGGCCGTAATGAACAGTGATAGCACTTGTCAAGCAAATACAAGTCAAGAGGAAAATGAAAATATAGTGCAACAACCTCTTCCTTATTGAACACAATGGCTATTTATGTAACAAGCACAACGTTACAAACATGCCATAGCTACAACACAAAAAGAAACTGTCCCATAATTGAGCCCTGGAGAATAAACATATATTTATGATGAAGCAGAGCCCTAATGCAGTCATTTTTGCTAGCAACAATATTTTATTTGTGGCCATGTCTATACATTTACATTACATTTACGTCATTTAGCAGACGCTCTTATCCAGAGCGACTTACAAATTGGTGCATTCAGTTGGATAACCACTTTACAATTATTATTATTTATTTTTTTTTTCTTCTGGGGGGTGGGGTGGGGTAAGAGGGGGGGGGGGGGGGGGTAGAAGGATTACTTTATCCTATCCCAGGTATTCCTTAAAGAGGTGGGGTAGATATAATGTGATTAGATATAATGTGCCATTTGAGAGAACATCTATTCCAATATTTGAAGCAGCTGAGAAAGAATAAAGACCTGCAGGGTTTTCTTATAGTCAGTGGATAACGATGGGCCCAACGAGTTCAAGTTTGTGCGTGACATTCATGCTTCACAATGCAATGAGAGCAGTGCTACGCTTACTGGTTCTTATTCACTTCTTCAAATAGGAAAACAAAACAAAACACAATACTATGGTGACAACAACACGCCTGGCATAAGATCATTTCTGAGCGAGAGGCTGTCGCATTGTGTTTCACACTGGCTTCACCAGGCCATTATCACCTCCTCCAGCTGTACAGGACTGTATACACACACACACACACGCGGGTTCGTGCACACACACACACACACACACACACACACACACACACGCACACACGCACACACGCGGATTCGTGCACAAGCACACACGCACACACACACACACACACACGCACACAAACCTACTGTAGGCACACTGTGTACTATACAAAAGAGAGGAACCTCTAAAGGGTCACGTTTAAAGGGATACTTTGGGATTTTGGCAATGAGGCCCTTTATCTACTTCTCCAGTCAGATTAGCTTGTGGATAACATTTTTATATCTCTGTGTCCAGTATGAAGGAAGTTAGAGATAGTTTCGCGAGCAGTTAGTGCCAGTAGCAGATACTCATAGACTTCCAGTCAATTGAGCTAGAGCTAGTTAGCAACTTCCTTCAAACTGCACGCATAGACATAAAAATGGTATCCACAAGCTAATCTGACTCTGGGGAAGTAGATAAAGGGCCTCATTGCCAAAATCCTGAAGTATCCCATTAAAGTGAGTAGTGGTCCTTTGTAGCTCAGTTGGTAGAGCATGGCTCTTGTAACGCCAGGATAGTGGGTTTGATTCCCAGGACCACCCATATGTATAATGTATGCATGCATGACTGTAAGTCGCTTTGGATAAAAGCGTTTGCTAAATGTCATATATTATGGTCCTGCAACAGGGTCCGCCTGTATGTGCAAAGTCCATTATTCAATACCAAGGAAAGTTGAATTGAGTAGGGTTGCGATCACACACACTTCAATAGCAATCTCAAATGTGCAGAGTTATTCATCTGTACAAGTTGAAAATAGCATGAAAGACAAATAAGATATCCCAGAAGGTATTTTGTTAGTTTTTTCTCTAGGGTATAGAATAAATTAGTTTGAAACATCCCTTTGAATTCTGCATTCCATTTGAGTTGGGATAAGTTACAATTGATTATGTAAGCCAGGTTTTAAAATCACTTTGCTGGGAACGTATTGCCTAAGGATCAGGTTAAGCCTCCAATTTGAGGAAAATCTTTTCATTTGCCACCAGATTTGCCTCTAATTGAAGGAAATAGTTCAGAATGAAAAACAAACAGAGGCCAAACAAGCACAGCTTTATTCTGCAGACATCTGTGTGCAATAAGTTTCATATGAGGTTGCTAGCTAGAATGATCGCTTTGAGGGCTAACAAATAAGGTGTTATGAATAAACAGATTGTGAGCACACCGAATAACTTCTGTATATTCACTAAAATACTGCATCAAAGATTTTAATGGGATACAGAGGAGCGGTACCTTTTCAGTTAATCATAGATATCTCTAATAAGGAAAAAACATACCTCCAGAATGCATGGGTGGTCCACATAACAACACCACTCCTTGGCCCTCTCGGACATTGACAGCACTCCGTGCCATTTGGGACTTGAAGTTATCTAGGTCTAATCAACACAAAAATCAAGCTTTAGTGTTACTACAGAATGGATGAATATGCTTTATAAAGCATAATGGACACTAAGCACTAACCTTAGTAGCATCATGCCTAAATACAGTTGACAACTCAATCAGTATCAGCCAATGTGTTTCCCGCTGTGGTTAGATTTTCACCAACACATGCATCAGTTACATTGGTTTCTTCAAAGCTCTAAAATACATGTGGTGCAGGAAACCATTCACAGGTACAGTGATTGATTGCTTTAGAACACACCCAATGCTATACAATACTTTGAAAGGCAACTGTAACATTGAACATTATTGATGGACTTGAGTATGTGATGTATACCTCACAACACACAGTTGTTATGGTAGCAGCAGGAGATTAACTTGCAAAGGGATAACAAAGAGGGGAGGAAATTGGAGGGACTGAACAAACACAGAGCACATGACCAAAAACAGGATTCAGTGCCAAGAGCAATAACCAACATCATTATTAAATGCAGTGTAATCTCGCACTTAGCTTCCCAATTGATACTCTGGGCGCAATTCATCCCTGCAAATGAAAGGGGAAAAAGCTGCCAGACTGAGCTTGTACCTGGGATGATGAAACGTTACTCTGTTTCAGTGAGTGATGGGCAAACCACTGTACCCATGTGCCTACTGACTGTAGGGCAGCCCCGAACACAAACAAAAGAAAGTCAATGTGACCGTTAAGACAAATTGGGAAAAGAGGACAGGCCACAAGGTGAGTGGCCATCTTCTAACAGAGCAATAGAGAACTAGAACTCACAGCCATGGTGCTGATTCTAAAGCAGGAGGAGGTAGGCTGGCTAGGCTATCTACAGACAGGTGATGCAGGCTGGTTGGAAAGCATAACCACACAGCTGCAGCTGATCATGATGATAATATTCATTTTCAAACAGTGGGTGTTGGAACTAAAAGGTAGGAATCAGTTACGGTAGGGAGAGGAGGCCCTTCTCTACTCCTCTCTCCCTCACACAGAAAGGCACAGCAGGGACTGGAGCTAAAATGCAGCACTCTGCAGACTGGCTCTACCCTGTCTCTAGGCTAATATGTCTCCTCTGCACAGACTACAACTCTGAGAGCCAATAAGAATGTGTCGGGAGGGAAGCCAGGAAAAACATATAGAGGTTTCCTATCCAACACCTTGCAAGCTCTTCAGGTTCATTCTATTTCTACCACAAAGGAAGTACTCCCTGGTGTGGTTTCTACCAGTGTTTGATACACTTGTATTACAGTTGTTTTACAGTTGTTCAGAAATTGAATGTAAAGTAAGATGAAGTTGATGGCCATAGCACATCACAAAAAAGAATCACATCATCAAAATGACAATTTAATTGTGGAGACAGGAAATGGGGGAGGCAACCCATCCTTGTCTATGGCAGCTTCTTCATTACGAGGAAAAGCTAGCAGCCTATGCAGCAATCCCCATGTAAATTATCTCCAAGACCACCTCTGTGCATTCAACTACTAGACAAATATCAAGCAGCTTCCCTCCTCACCTAGGCACCACAAGTGAGATTCATTATCCAGCCCATAAGGGTAAAGGCAGTCCATCTCTTAAGGGGAATGAAAGGCTCTCTATCCCTAGGACATGGTCAATAGTGAGACGGCATGATCAGTGAGAGGGGAGAGGTGTCTCTACACTGTCTGTCTGTCGGCTCTCTATACGGTAGGGAATCACGCCAAAGCCTCATATTCACATAAATGATTGTGTCTGGTTTGCAAAGTTGTAAGCTTTATTTGTGTTGTTTTCCTTTCAAGTCCAGATCGCAGACGCTGGCATAGATTGGCAAAGTATCAGTCAATACCGAGTGAGCACAGATGCTGTCCAAGCTGGAAACACAGCGACTAATGAGAATCAATGGAGTCAGAAGCTGCCTTACCCGCTGCCTTACCCATTTTGTTGCATCTGACATTTCATTCAATTACCCCTTAAAAAAATCTATTTGAAGCAAACCAAACAAGAAATCGGAATGCTAAAGCCACAGCAACACACTCACACAGACACACATACACAAACATGCATGCACATATGCAAGCGTGCAAGCACGCATGCGCGCACACACACACACACACACAGATGTGTTAGGGATAGCCCAATCCCTTACATGCAAATTGCAGATTGGCTCTGCGGCTGAGGATAGTCCCCCATGTGTTGAAGGCAGTGCACTGGTATATCCCCGTGTCTTCATCCCTGTCCAGACTGTTAATGATCAGGTTGCCTCCAGACATGTGACGCCGGTAGTCACTCCCCAGATCAATGAGTGTTCCGTTAAGCGACCATCTGGAAAGACGCAAACACAATCAGCAGCCGGGCCTCTGGAGATGTACACTCGCAAACATTTATAACATGGATCAATTTGATGGGTGCAGGTGGCCATTATTCTGTGAACAACACGAGACAGGAAATATCAAAACATTAGTTTGAATCTTTATGATTCCCTCATGATAAAGACAATTGAATCAAATGAAAAATATTGGATATAATCACACTGTAATTGTTGGTGTTTTTAGCATGAGACTATTCATAGTGTATTGGGTTAGCCTAGCTAGCTGCCTTGGTATTTCAAAGACTGTGGCCTAGTTGTTTCTATTTTACATAATTGTATACAAAATATTTCACATCTCACATTACTGATATAAAATACATTTCATGAGTCATGAGTAGAGCAAAACAGATAATATTTCCAAGTTGTCTAAAAAAAATCAATCACCAGCTAAGATACATCCAGGGATATACACTGAGTGAGGTCAAAGAAAGTAAAACATAAAATGTTTTGGACTGTTTACAACTCTAATGATTTGCTGCAATAAACAATTTACAAAATGGAAAAATTATTTTTGTTTTTCCAAAGTTAGACAGAAACCAAAAAACGAAAAAGACAAATTAACAAAGCTGAGAGGCATGATAAGTATGGATTATTTTCCACTTAAGAATGCAAGTAATGGTGAATGATTAGGATGAGACTTTGAGCCAGCTAGTTTGAACAATGCCATTCGGGGACCGTGAAATGACAATTCCAATGATGAGAAAAATACATCTATAATATTTTTCCCCTTTTCAGTAAACTAACGAGCAGAGAAAATGATTCTTCACACAGCCTTAAAACCAGCCATGACTCTCCCCAGACTCCCGCCTGACAGACTACAAAAGATATAGCTGTCTTTCATGTTGTTGACTGCATTATTCATCTATCACAGTGTGGTTTTCACTTAATCAGACTTATTGTGTCACCATTCCAGATACCAAAATAATTTTTTTAATGTTTGAAGTTACAGTGTGTGATGAAGCCTATGTTTACTGGGCGCACAAATATGAATGCAACAAACAAGGAAGTTTGATGACTTATTGAATCTTAATTTCCTTTAAAAGAACAGCTTGTTTATACATGTTCCAAATGGCTCAGTTGATATGATCCATCATGTTACCGTAGGTATACAGCCTATAGAAGGAGGATCTCACATGTTTAATCTAAGTCCTAATATTTATATATTTCTTAATTCCATTGTTTTACTTTTAGATTTGTGTGTATTGTTGTGAATTGTTAGATACTACTGCATGTTGGAGCTAGGAACACAAGCATTTCGCTACACCTTCAATAACATCTGCTAAATATGTGTATGTGACCAATAAAATTGGATCGGATTTGATTTGATTTATAATAAAGAGGAGAAGGGGAGCGGGAGAGGGGGTTGGATGGCTGGTTGTATTCGCAGCCACTCCAGCATATCTGAACTTAATGGGAGAAGACAGTAGGCAGGCTGAGCAGATCAGACACCCCTGGAGCAGATGGCTGGGCTCTGCCTCTGCTGGGTGTGAGGATGTCTATGCACGACACAGCAAGTCACTATGCCAGCGACCCCATCTAGCAGCAGTAGCAGCGCAAACATCTCAAACTGCAAGCCTCAGCTCCATTTGAACAGTGGGACAAGCTGTCAGAGACACCTCTCACCTGCCACCACTAAGTAGCCACCAGAAAAGGCCTGGTATGAAACCCCCCCGAGGTTGAAGGCTAGGTGACAGAGAATGAAAATCCCGTCACATACACAGCATCCATTCCATGAGAGTGGAGTAAACAACGACGGTAGACCACAGTGCTGCTGCTAGTGTCATTTCACCACGACACAAGAAGCTGTGGAGTTATTTAACCTGAACCAGTATAACTGAAATCACACATTGTCCTCATACGAAATAAATTCCCAAATTACCAAGCAGTCATCACACTGAGATGTTATTATCACTCCACCAATTAAAGCCCATGCGGACATAACTATCCTTTGCTATCCACTATCCAAACCATAAGTATCCATGTTAGCATAGTCATATTGTATTTGAGTTGTCACCATCATCATCACCATCATCATCATATGCAGTGATGTGTATCTCTCTAACAGTCAGTAAAATGGTTCTTATCAGCTGTGAGGTTATGAGCAAAACCTCATATATGGAGGCAAAAACATAAAATTAGACATCAGGCTCCAATTATATTTTTACTGTGAGAGTATATGATTGTTGCAAGCAGCCTGCTCTGACCTGTATAGCAGCCTGTGCCTTCAAACCTGTTGCCAGCTCAGGACTAAAACCAGCACGACTCCAACACCATGGGAATCTTTCTGCATTCTAAACAGTAATGGTCTCATCTCCTCTTCATTGACCCCTCAAGTCTTAACTCAACCACAGATGAGGACTCCAACTTAAGTGCTTCACAAATAAAGGCAAGACAGTACTTTGAAGTCACAATCTACCTGGGACCTTAGCATTAGTGGAACCTTATAGAGTGAATAGATGGAATTTTACACACCAGACAGTAGGGTACTAAAAAACAACCAAGACCTCAGGAGAATGGTTCCCTTATTTGCTGTGGCTGTCCTAGCCTGTTCCAGCCTCCAGGCCATGGGCTGCTCCTGGTCTGGATGAACTCTGGCCGACCTTGAGGTTTACATCAATGTTGCATGAGGCCTCTTCATCAAATACAGGCAGGGAATCGAGCCATGCTCAGAGTTGTCTCCAGCTGCAGACCTCACCTGGTTTCCCCTGAGGCCACACACACAGGCAAAAGCAGGCCCACACACTCACACTCACACGCACACTCACATGTACACTCACACACACACTCACACACACACTCACTACATGACCAAAGGTATGTGGACACCTGCTCGTCGAACATCTCATTCCAAAATCATGGGCATTAATATGGAGTTGGTCTCCCCTTTGCTGCTATATCAGCCTTCACTCTTCTGGGAAGGCTTTCCACTAGATGTTGGAACATTGCTGCGGAGACTTGCTTCCATTCAGCCACAAGTGCATTAGTGAGGTCGGGCACTGATGTTGGGCGATTAGGCCTGGCTCGCAGTTGGCGTTCCAATTAATCCCAAAGGTGTTTGATGGGGTTGAGGTCAGGGCTCTGTGCAGCTATGTATAGTTCTTCCACACCGATCTTGACAAACCATTTCTGTATGAACTTCGCTTTGTGCATGGGGGGCTTTGTCATGCTGAAACAGGATAGGAAGCACAGAATCGTCTAGAATGTCATTGTATGGTTTAGCATTAAGATTTCCCTTCAGTGGAACTAAGGGGCCTATCCCGAACCATGAATAACAGCCCCAGAGCAATATTCCTCCTCCAACTTTACAGTTGGCACTATGCATTCTAGCAGGTAGCGTTCTCCAGGCATCCGCCAAACCCAGATTTGTCCGTCGGACTGCCAGATGGTGAAGCGTGATTAATCACTTCAGAGAACGCGTTTCCGCTGCTCCAGAGTTCAGTGGCGGTGAGCTTTACACCACTCCAGCCGACGCTTGGCATTGCACATGGTGATCTTTGGCTTGTGTGCGGCTGCTCGGCTCCCGACTTACAGTTCTTGTGCTGACGTTGCTTCCAGAGGCAGTTTGGAACTCGGTAGTGAGTGTTGCAACAGAGGACAGATTATTTTTACACGCTACGTACTTCAGCACTAGGCGGACCTGTTCTGTGAGCTTGTGTGGCCTACCACTTCGCGGCTGAGCCGTTGTTGCTCCTAGAAGTTTCCACTTCACAATAACAGCATTTACATTTGACCGGGGCCGCTCTGGCAGAGCATACATTTGACAAACTGACTTGTTGGAAAGGTGGCATCCTATGACAGTACCACGTTGAAAGTCACTGAGCTCTTCAGTAAGGCTATTCTACTGCCAGTGTTTGTCTATGGAGATTGCATGGGTGTGTGCTCTATTTTATACACCTGTCAGCAAAGGGTGTGGCTGAAATAGCCAAATCCACTAATTTGAAGGGGTGTCCACATACTTTTTTATATGTAGTGTAGTTAATCCTGGCCCTTAAAAACCACACAGCTGACCAGGAGACAGAGGGCCCTTGGTCTCAACCCTGATAGTTGTCAGACAATAAGACTAACAGCTCATCAGATAATACTGGATATCATCATTAAACATGGTTGTATTTGAAATTGAAGAATTAATATGTCAGTAGTCTGAGACTTTGTCAGGGCAGGAGATGCATGCAAAGTTCTCTCCTCTGGCCCCACGCTGTGATCGCTTCCAGAATAAATGAGAAAGTCAAATAGCCTAACGTCTCCTCTGAGTGCTATTGAAGTATTTTTCCAGTACAAGACTACAAAGTAAGAGATGATGACAACATCTCCCTGATGTCACATTAAGAGACGGGAACATAAAAAACTAATTATTATTGTTGTCCAATGGCCACTATGCCCTCTGTTCTACAGTACATTGCAGTACATTCAGTAGACAGTCACACTGCCCATAGTAGTGTTCATTATGGGTCACTTACAAGGACACAAATCAATTGTGACAACCAAAGTGAGAACAAAGACTTAAAAATGCTGTAACAAATCAAACAGTAGTATTTGACATGAGGTGTGGAGTGGAGTGGTTTTACAAATGGGGAGTGTGGGATGGTGTGACATGTGGGGTGTGGTGGAGTGGTGTGACATGTGGGCTGGTGTGACGTGGGTGGTGTGGAGTGGAGTGGAGTGACAAGTGGGGTGGTGTGGAGTGGTTTGACAAGTGGGGTGGGATGGTGTGACATGTGGGGTGGGGTGGAGTGACATGTGGGGAGGAGTGGTGTGACATGTGGGGTGGAGTGGAGTGGTGTGACATGTGGGGTGGGGTCGAATGGTTGGGGTTGGGGTGGAGTGGTGTGGCGGAGTGGTGTGACATGGGGTGGGGTGGAGTGGTGTGACATGTGGGGTGGGGGTGGGCGAAGTGGTGGTGAAGACAACACGATGTTTGAGGTGGGGTAGTAGTGGTTGTGACATGTGTGGGTGGGAGTGGAGTGTGTGACATGGGGTAGAGTGGAGTGGTGTGATATGGGGGTGGAGTTGGAGTGGGGTTGACATGTGTGGGTGGAGTGGAGTGGTGGTGACCATTGGGGTGGGGGTGGAGTTGGGTTTGACATGGTGGGGTGGAGTGGAGTGGGGTTGGACGTTGTGGGGTAGAGGGGAAGGGTGTGACTGTGGGGTGGGGGGAGTGGTGGACATGTGGGGTGGAGGTGGAGTGGTGTGACATGTGGGGTGGAGTGGAGTGGTGTGACATGTGGGGTAGAGGGGAGTGGTGTGACATGTGGGGTGGAGGGGAGTGGTGTGACATGTGGGGTGGAGTGGAGTGGTGTGACATGTGGGGTGGGTGGAGTGGTGTGACATGTGGGGTGGGGTGGAGTGGTGTGACATTTGGGGTGAAGTGGAACTGGTAATGAAAGACACTACTAAAGAGCATCACTTTAATGGTATGATATCGTTACTTTGGCATGAATTGGAAAATGTGAAGAACCGGAAATCAAATCTTAGATCTGAGTAAGAAACTGAGTAGTATTAGTTGATGCGTTCCTGCAGAATTGTGGGAGGTCAAAGCTTGCCATTTGCAGCTCTGACGGACAGCTAGGGCAGTTCATTGGGGGTATTTGAGGTCTTGAGATTTTTGTGTTAGGGAAATGCAGGCCTAATGCTAAACATTTATGTTTCGCTTTTAATCATCGAGACAAAAGTCCTCTTCTTGCCGGAGGGGACACAAGTCAAGAACAGTCAGTGTCAAACATACGCTGGTGAAAACCAAATAAAACCACAAATGATCCCTTCACTTGCAGTGAGTCCAAGGACTAAACAATGCAGTATATTTAAAAGTATTGCCATAAATGTCAATCCCCTGGCATGGGGGTTTGTTTAATTAATAAAGTGACTCACTTCTACTCTATTAAGACCTATGCTCTGTATTAATTTTGTTTTAATACAAATACCTTACATAAAATGTGGGCTTGAAGTCCTGCTTTTCAAATTATTGACTTGGGTTCTGTCCATGTTCACAATGAAAGCTTGGATTGTCTTTAATTTGTCTTGGATTGGATTTTAGAATTGACATTAATCGTGTGAAATAGCTCATTAAGATACACTTAACTGGAGTAAGTTATTAGCCTGCATAAAAACAATCGTAATATTTTTTATTGCTTATGATGACTAATGTTTTATCCATCCAATATTAAACCAGGGAAAACATATCGCTGTTACTTTACTAATGCAGGAAACTTTGGAGCTGCACTTAAACATCTAAAGAGGCTTTTACTCACAGCATGCAAGAGCTGTTCCACTTTATGTGTCACAGTTGACTACAGCACATTTTATCAACATATTCATAACCACAATATATGCTTGTACCTGTGCAGAAACACTTAAGCCTGAATAGTCAGAGCAGTACTAAAAGTCACAATTGTTAAGTTTGATAGTGGGACATCCACTCGACTTCTTTTTCAAGCAGTTCAAGTTGTAATGGTTCAGCTCATCCTTGGATCGCTCAGCTTGCACAACACGTATAATGATACCCCCTGCTGCTGCTCTAAGACCATGTTTTCAGCACAGACGCATTAGAGGAAATGTAAGCGTTTAAGAAGGGAATGTCACTCACAAGGTTATTGCCTCTCTCGACTGCTTGCTGTGCATTTACATGATGCTGACCAAGCTACGAAACACAGTCTACCACAAAACCAGTGCGGGATGCCATTTTCAGATAGACTCACCACCGGGGAATAACCGGAGGGATATCAGAGAATCTAGAGTAGAATTAGTCACTGAAATCTCCCAACATTACTAATGATTTCTTAAGCAGTGCAGCACACATTAGCTTCAATCCTAGAGCAACCTAAATCAAATTTGTAATAAAGATAACTACACTCACATCTCTGAAGTATTTATAAGCTAATGATTGGCTGACCTCCCCACAGTATCTGTGGGTTTTGGAATGAGCATGCCCTATGAATCATTTTCTGTCTGGTTAACTGTCTGGTTAATCTTGTTTCTTGGATATTGTAGTATCTCTACTGCAAATATGGCCAGCCCAATGTTTTTCTCTACACATCAATAACAATTAATGCTATCAGTATCCTGTTTGATTGACTTGTTAAATGGCAGCTAATGGCAGTTCCACACTGACTTGTGGAATTATAGTGTAAATAGATGGAATCCAGTACCTGTACTGTGGGGAGGGGTTCCCCTCTGCCTCACATGTAATGGTGGCTTCCTGGTCAGGGGAGTTGTTGGGGAGAATGAGGTCACTGGGCTCTGTCCTCCATTTTGGCCCTTGGAATAGGACATCTTGTGCACGAGCTGGAGAAGATAAGAAACATGTGCTGTGATACTCAGGCCTTAAACAATTGGTTTTCATCAATGTGTGACATTTCAGTCATCTAACATCTAAGGATAACAAATTAGTCTGAACAAACAGGTAGAGGGTGAAAACTTGTGAATCGTGACACGCCAGCACTCGCTAACAGAGGTGACAAAAACTGATGACACATTTGAAAACCATGTCTTTAATTACAAGATGTTAATACACTGTACAAGTGCGACAGGGCCATTAAAATATTCGATTTTGACGAGAGATAAGGAAACCATTATTTTATTAAATAGTGTGCTACTAACCCCGATAATTATAATAGCTTATCCATGAAAAACGTTATTGTTGGCAGAACTAATTCGATGTTGGCACTACAAAAAAGCATCTGAGCACTGCAAAAAGCGTGGAGACTTCATGTGACGTTGAAACGTCAGTCACATGCTTGCACCCGCGTGAATCCATTTGGAAGCAGTACGATTTATGATAACCAACTAATCTCTGCCTGCTTTCTTAGTGTTACATCATTGTGCCAACCTCAAAATATTTTGGACGTTTTTATTGGTAGCCTAAGACGTTATGTTTCGGATACTTACAGTGGGGGAAAAAAGTATTTAGTCAGCCACCAATTGTGCAAGTTCTCCCACTTAAAAAGATGAGAGAGACCTGTAATTTTCATCATAGGTACACGTCAACTATGACAAACAAACTGAGAATTTTTTTTTCCAGAAAATCACATTGTAGGATTTTTTATGAATTGATTTGCAAATTATGGTGGAAAATAAGTATTTGGTCACCTACAAACAAGCAAGATTTCTGGCTCTCACAGACCTGTAACTTCTTCTTTAAGAGGCTCCTCTGTCCTCCACTCGTTACCTGTATTAATGGCACCTGTTTGAACTTGTTATCAGTATAAAAGACACCTGTCCACAACCTCAAACAGTCACACTCCAAACTCCACTATGGCCAAGACCAAAGAGCTGTCAAAGGACACCAGAAACAAAATTGTAGACCTGCACCAGGCTGGGAAGACTGAGTCTGCAATAGGTAAGCAGCTTGGTTTGAAGAAATCAACTGTGGGAGCAATTATTAGGAAAGGGAAGACATACAAGACCACTGATAATCTCCCTCGATCTGGCGCTCCACACAAGATCTCACCCCGTGGGGTCAAAATGATCACAAGAACGGTGAGCAAAAATCCCAGAACCACACGGGGGGACCTAGCGAATGACCTGCAGAGAGCTGGGACCAAAGTAACAAAGCCTACCATCAGTAACACACTACGCCGCAAGGGACTCAAATCCTGCAGTGCCAGACGTGTCCCCCTGCTTAAGCCAGTACATGTCCAGGCCCGTCTGAAGTTTGCTAGAGTGCATTTGGATGATCCAGAAGAGGATTGGGAGAATGTCATATGGTCAGATGAAACCAAAATATAACTTTTTGGTAAAAACTCAACTCGTCGTGTTTGGAGGACAAAGAATGCTGAGTTGCATCCAAAGAACACCATACCTACTGTGAAGCATGGGGCTGGAAACATCATGCTTTGGGGCTGTTTTTCTGCAAAGGGACCAGGACGACTGATCCGTGTAAAGGAAAGAATGAATGGGGCCATGTATCGTGAGATTTTGAGTGAAAACCTCCTTCCATCAGCAAGGGCATTGAAGATGAAACGTGGCTGGGTCTTTCAGCATGACAATGATCCCAAACACACCGCCCGGGCAACGAAGGAGTGGCTTCGTAAGAAGCATTTCAAGGTCCTGGAGTGGCCTAGCCAGTCTCCAGATCTCAACCCCATAGAAAATCTTTGGAGGGAGTTGAAAATCTGTGTTGCCCAGCGACAGCCCCAAAACATCACTGCTCTAGAGGAAATCTGCATGGAGGAATGGGCCAAAATACCAGCAACAGTGTGTGAAAACCTTGTGAAGACTTACAGAAAACGTTTGACCTGTGTCATTGCCAACAAAGGGTATATAACAAAGTATTGAGAAACTTTTGTTATTGACCGAATACTTATTTTCCACCATAATTTGCAAATGAATTCATTAAAAATCCTACAATGTGATTTTCTGGATTTTTCTTTTCTCATTTTGTCTGTCATAGTTGACGTGTACCTATGATGAAAATTACAGGCCTCTCTCATCTTTTTAAGTGGGAGAACTTGCACAATTGGTGGCTGACTAAATACTTTTTTTCCCCCATTGTATGTGTTGATTGTTGAGCTCCTTAAAGCCTACACGTTCGATTAGTTGTTGGAATGCTGCATCAATAGGCAGAGTGCAGTCCATCAAAAGTGGCCAATCAATAACACACTTTTCAACTTTTTGGCCAACCGAGTGTGATGTCTCCAAACCCTGCTGCATCAATCATTGAAGAACATTGAATTCCCAGTGTGCAGTGGCCCTTACTTCTTAAAATGTAAGGAATGGTTTCAACATGATTTAGACATGTAATACCTAGTGAGGTTGATTTATCTCAATATCCTCTGGACTTTTTCACATACAACCCTAGTGCCTGTAGTGCTGCCTTCCCCATTTTACTGAGTCCCATTGATACAAAAGTCACATGCTAAGTTTGATGGGTATATTAGCTATGCTGATTTAGTCTACACTACCTTCCCTTGAGAAATAGGCGTAAATTACCAATATGCTATTTCAAAACAATTAAAATGACATACATTGGGATTTGCAATGTCATGTGTACAAGCTAAAACAATTCAACCTCCTCTTTGTTACAGCGCTTTGAGATGTATTTAATGTAATGAATAGCGCTATAAAAGTTGAATAAATTATTATTATTTATAATTATTATTTGTTATGGTTGCCTTTCAGTGGAAAAATAGAGCGATAGAGAGAGAGTGAGAGTGAGAGTGAGAGTGAGAGAGTGAGAGAGAGATTTTCATCCCAATCCCAGGTGACCACAGGGTCAGTGTGGCAAGTGGATTGTGATGAAATACAGGCGCAGTTCCATCCCAAGGATCCTGATAAGGATCTCTGACATCTCATACACAGGAATAGGAATGGAATCACAGATGTCCCTGGAGGTGCAAATGCAGTAGGCTGCTCAAGGGATGGCTGAAGGGCACCAGGGGAAGTAGCCTACCGTAAATGAAAAACTGCATTCTAATCAATTGAACCATGTCAGTATAAAATATGATATGTTTGGTTGCAAATACTGTGTGGGTGTCTCTATCAGTTTCTTATAAACAGCAAAAGAGAAGATTAGATCTAGGCTTGGTATCTGACTGCCATCAAATGTAATGCAATACTAAATCTGTAGAATTGTGTAGTCAGTGCACAGAATGGTTCATTTCAGTTCATAGCGTTCTTTCAAGCCAAATCTGGAGAATGCATATAGCACTTTAAAATGATGTAGGCAACACTGTAAGCATGAGATCTCTTACATTTCCATATGAGACCAAAGAGACAACACACATCAGTGTCATACTGTCAACTTCAAACTATCAGTGCTCCATTGAGCGGTATTGCAGTAAACTTGCAAAAAAGGTATACCAGTTTCTAATTTGTAACAAAAAGAGCAATAAGGCCTACTAATATTGTGCAAGTAATAACATTAATATAAACATTAATCATCCCACTAATGGAAAATCATATATGATTAGGAGTTTGTAGGATTATAACAGTAAATACCTCATCTTGAATAAAATGTGTAGTAGAACATCTTACCGGCAAGGCAACCAATGATTGATAGCAGCAGAAGTCGTTTCCATAGTAACATCATCTTCAGTTGCCAAGGGCAAATACGACTCATCCAATTGCTTCTGAATGGAATGTTCTCCCTTGATTACGAGAATCTTAATCTGAGGGGAAAGTAATTATAGAAATAATTAAAATAAGACATTATGAGCCAAATATTTCAAGCATTCAACATCAGAACATTATTCCAGTATTGCTAAAGTTGCACTATTCATGTTCTTTATTCTTTAATAGTTTTTAGAATACATTAAGTAAAAAACAAACAGTGAAAGCACTGTAAATTAAATCCACTCACTAAGGACAACATACGCACATTACGACGTTACTGTATGCAATGGTTGAATAATTACATTATTAATTATACTGTATGCCCTTTGATGACTAAATGTAATGGAAAATACAAATGTTGACACATTGTGAGTAAGTAAGGAAGGACATACTGTATATATATCAAAAAGAAAATAGGCATGCAACACATTTGAATACCAGGTATAGATGCATAGCCAGCCATCATCTGTGACACTTTCAAATGTTCTCCATAACACCTGCTCTAGATAAACTCGTACACAGCGTTGTACGAGATCTTCAGTTTCTTGGCAATTTCTCACATAGAATAGCCTTCATTTCTCAGAACAAGAATAGACTGACGAGTTTCAGAAGAAAGTTATTTGTTTCTGGCCATTTTGAGCCTGTAATCGAACCCACAATTGCTTATGCTCCAGATACTCAACTAGTCTCAAGAAGGCCAGTTGTATTGCTTCTTTAATCAGCACAACAGTTTTCAGCTGTGCTAACATAATTGTAAAAGGGTTTTCTAATGATCAATTAGCCTTTTAAAATTATAAACTTGGATTAGCAAACACAACGTGCCATTGGAACACAGGACTGATGGTTGCTGATAATGGGCCTCTGTACGCCTACGCTAAAAATCAGCTGTTTCCAGCTACAATAGCCATTTACAACATTAACAATGTCTACACTGTATTTCTGATCAATTTGATGTTATTTTAATGGACAAAAAAAAGGCTTTTCTTTCGAAAACAAGGACATTTCTAAGTGACCCCAAACTTTTGAACGGTAGTGTACATTTTCCTTTCAAAACACTTTCGATCTCCTTTGACTGGCAGAAAAAGGTTTTATGCTCCCATTTTTGCAGAGGTGGGATATTGCTTGTCATTTTACCTTTATAATCCATGCTCTGATGAAGGTCTTGCATCCGAAACCTTAGCCTAATTAATTTAAATGTGTGCATTGGTCCTGAGTGTGCGGATATTTATTCCATTACCTTATAATCCATTGAAATTATATAGTATATTACATTATTTCACTCCTATGTTTTATTTATTTATTGCTTAGACCTGTGTGATATGTCCCTAAAGCATAGGGTTACTTACTAAGGTTTTCAATATTCCCTTTCAAAAGCTTTCAAACCTGGTTTCACAGACATAAGCTAGAGGGATGTTTTTCCATTGAGCGTATGCCATGCTCGCAAAGTCTGAACTGAATTCACAATGCATCACGCATAATATTGTCTGACAAGTAATCTAATCTTTAGCCAACTCTCTTGCTATCTCTCTCAGAATGACCTTCTTGATCCAAACCAGTCAGGTTTCAGGACTGGTCATTCAACTGAGACTGCTCTTCTCTGTGTCACGGAGGCTCTCCGCACTGCTAAAGCTAACTCTCTCTCCTCTGCTCTTGTCCTTCTAGACCTGTCTGCTGCCTTTGATACTGTGAACCATCAGATCCTCCTCTCCACCCTCTCCGAGCTGGGCATCTCCGGCGCGGCTCACTCCTGGATTGCGTCCTACCTGACCGGTCGCTCCTACCAAGTGGCGTGGCGAGAAGCTGTCTCCGCACCACGTGCTCTCACCACTGGTGTCCCCCAGGGCTCAGTTCTAGGCCCTCTCCTTTTCTCCCTATACACCAAGTCACTTGGCTCTGTCATATCCTCACATGGCCTCTCCTATCATTGCTACGCTGACGATACACAACTAATCTTCTCCTTTCCCCCTTCTGATAACCAGGTGGCGAATCGCATCTCTGCATGTCTGGCAGACATATCAGTATGGATGACGGATCACCACCTCAAGCTGAACCCTGGCAAGACGGAGCTGCTCTTCCTCCCGGGGAAGGACTGCCCGTTCCATGATCTCGCCATCACGGTTGACAACTCCGTTGTGTCCTCCTCCCAGAGTGCGAAGAGCCTTGGCGTGACCCTGGACAACACCCTGTCGTTCTCCGCTAACATCAAGGCGGTGACCCGATCCTGCAGGTTCATGCTCTACAACATTCGGAGAGTACGACCCTGCCTTACACAGGAAGCGGCACAGGTCCTAATCCAGGCACTTGTCATCTCCCGTCTGGATTACTGCAATTCGCTGTTGGCTGGGCTCCCTGCCTGTGCCATTAAACCCCTACAACTCATCCAGAATGCCGCAGCCCATCTGGTGTTCAACCTTCCCAAGTTCTCTCACGTCACCCCCCTCCTCCGCACACTCCACTGGCTTCCAGTTGAAGCTCGCATCCGTTACAAGACCATGGTGCTTGCCTATGGAGCAGTGAGGGGAACGGCACCTCCGTACCTTCAGGCTCTGATCAGTCCCTACACCCAAACGAGGGCATTGCGTTCATCCACCTCTGGCCTGCTGGCTCCCCTTCCTCTGCGGAAGCATAGTTCCCGCTCAGCCCAGTCAAAACTGTTCGCTGCTCTGGCACCCCAATGGTGGAACAAGCTCCCTCACGACGCCAGGACAGCGGAGTCACTCACCACCTTCCGGAGACATTTGAAACCCCACCTCTTTAAGGAATACCTGGGATAGGATAAAGTAATCCTTCTACCCCCCCCCCCCAAAAAAAAAAAATATATATATATATATATATATAAAAATATATATATATATAAAAAAATAAAAAAATAACCAATTGTAAAGTGGTTATCCCACTAGCTATAGGGTGAATGCACCAATTTGTAAGTCGCTCTGGATAAGAGCGTCTGCTAAATGACGTAAATGTGCCCTTGAGCAAGGCACTTAACCCTAATTGCTCCTGTAAGTCGCTCTGGATAAGAGCGTCTGCTAAATGACTAAAAATCTAAATCTAATGGGCCTTCTGATCTGGAAGTGGTGCCTATTGTTCTACAATTCCAATTCTAGCATTATTCCAATGGTAAAAGCTTTCTTTCCTAAAGCTTTCACCTACATCCCTGTTACCACTGGTAACTGATATGCCTCTCAGGATTAAGCATTCTAACCTTTCTCCATATACTGAGAATGTGACACTTTTGTGGATTAACCCAGTAGGCTACTACTATCTTTTGCATTCTTAATATAGCAGTAACATCACATATAAAACTATGGTTTCATCGTCTTAAGATGTTTTACAAACCAAGACATTGCAATAGCTACAATTACAGAATTGTGTGTGCAGTTTAAAGGGAGCAATATAGGCCTAGCTGTTATTGTACATCCATTGTTATGAGTCACATTTTGCAAGAAGCACCAGCCTCCTGCAGCCACCTATACTGTCGCCCAGAACACACTCTTCAGGGGGGTGATCTCATTTGGTTACAGATTACATAATATTCCGGCCAGTGCTGGTTTGGCACCATGGTTCTGGTGCCAGTAATTGTTCCTCATCTGCTGTAATTGCGGGGCACAGTGTGTCTCAGAATGGATTTCCTGGTGTCTTTCAAGTTTTAGGGGGCATTATGCCACTGTAAATCGTGTCACATTGGATTACACGCTTTGAGATCGTACTGGGTAGAGATGTGTGCCACATTCCTCAGTTTGTCTGCCATCTCAGTCATCCCATCCTATCCTTCCCAGTCTAATGCAGGGACCCAAAGAGGACAGACTGTATTTATAATGCATTTATAATGCATTCCTCTAGTATTTTCAAGATGAGTGCTTTATTTTGACAAACTCAGTGGAGACCAGAGCATGTGAGCAGAGTTGAGCAGTTGGAACACATGCTCATGGCTCGTGGAGCGGTGCTTGTGCTCCATGTCTTTTCCTACTGCTCCGCTAAAAACCGCTCCATGCTCACAGGAAAAAAAAACTGTTAGCTCCATTCATAAAAATCACAATTTAACCAACATTTAACATATTTTTGTCACTACCTGAATCTACCAATTGTTTTTTAAGGACATTTGAATAAACATGAAAAGGTGAATGTAAGAAGATAACATAATTTCAAATAGGCTACATTTTATATTACACAGCATATAAACACTCAAAATAGGTCAGGAGCCAGACAGGGAGCCTAAGAAGGAACGAAAATAAATTATTTAGGCTATATTATTTCTATTATTTCAAGGCTATAGCCTACAAAGGAATACATTGTGAAGCATTAGTGAGTGCAACACAGTAGGCTGGTAGGGACATAAAACGCTCAGCATTTAAACAACATTTAATTGTATTCAATCATTATAGTCTAGAAATGGTGCATATAGGTGCATATAGGTTGTGATTTACTTAGAATTAAATACAAATTAAACGAAAAATGACTTATTAGTGCCTTTGAATTCATCAGCACTGGAGAATATACTCTCCACATTCGCAGAGCCACTGGGGATACTAAACACCCTTTTGGCCACTCTTGCCAGGATGAGCAGAGATGCAGAGTTTTTAGGCAAAATAACCAAATCAAAATGGAAAGCTCCTTGAACGTGGGAATATGCCAGGCCTATTGGGCCAAAATCAATGATGGCCTATTGTATAGATAATAGAACAAAAATGAACGAAACGTTTAACAGATCTGACATTTAGTTTATAAATACTTTGATACAAATACACACTTACAGTTGAAGTCAGAAGTTTACATACACCTTAGCCAAATACATTTAAACTCAGTTTTTCACAATTCCTGACATTTAATCCTAGTAAAAATTCCCTGTTTTAGGTCAGTTAGGATCACCACTTTATTTTAAGAATGTGAAATGTCAGAATAATAGAATGATTTATTTAAGCTTTTATTTATTTCATCACATTCCCAGTGGGTCAGAAGTTTACATACACTCAATTAGTATTTGGTAGCATTGCCTTTAAATTGTTT